GAGTGTGTGTGTGTGTGTGTGTGAATTTATCAGAAAGGGAGAGCGTGCATGAAATATACTTTTGTGAGGACACCTCATAGAAAGATAATATTTGTTCAGCAATTAGTTCCGGTCCTCGAATCTGATTGGTCAAGGAAGTGTTGATATAATGGTCCAGCAGCTCTGAGTGTTTGTGTCGCTCCGCTTGTGTGTGTTTGTTCCAGACAGTCTGTCAGTCTAGTACATTAGTGGAGATTTTACAGTGACTCGCACTGTTACATAGTTACACCAGTAGGGGGCGACAAGTGAGTATTGAATCATTTATTTAATTTATTTGTCCAACAACTCACATTTAGAGACTAAACAATTGACTGTCTTTATGAAAGAGTCATTGAATCATTCAATCATCCAATTCATTCATAAACACTGATTCATTCAGAAATGAAATAATTGACTGTCTTTATGATTGAGTCATTGAATCATTCAATCAACAGATTCATTCAAAAACACTGATTCATTCAGAGACTAAACACAACTTGTGTTGTAGTGGTTCTGCTGTGGCCGAGCAAAAACACAGACTAGGTAATATTGTGTCTAAAATGTAAGTTATTCAATAATAAATTGTATTGAATTGTTATAAGAGCATCATCACACAAACGTGCTGCTTGCTTGTTACTCCAGTAATTCGTCGCTAGTTCACAGCACCTGACCGCAGTGAGATTCACACGATGATGCTCAGCACGCTTGGTTTGTTGATGAGAGAAAAAGGAAGTTCGGCGTGTTTCTGCTTGGTCTTTAACACCTGTGTGTTTCTGTCTTTGACTCTTTCAGCTGAAGAGGACAAAACCTTACAGTTTCCTCGTTTCACTTGCTTTAAACTTGTTTCTAATGTCCTTTTATATTAAAACCACAACACATTTTGATCATGTGCCAAGAGCTGGTCTCCTCTAAAGTTTCCATTTGCTCGTTTCTCAAGAAATCAAATGTTATTATGAAGTTTTGACTTTAGGTCCTGTAAATGTCAGAAGTAGAAACAATGGTAACTGATGACTCCTGTTCTGCTCATTTGTAGAGCGTGTGATCTGTGTGTTCTGTTCTCCTCAGCTCTTCTCGTTGGTGATCTTCGGCTGTATCGCTAACGAGGGCTACATCAACAGGCCTGATGAGGTCGAGCAGTTCTGCATCTTTAACCGGAACCAGAACGCCTGTAACTATGCGGTCAGCATGGGCTCGCTGGCCTTCCTCTGCTGCATGGCCTTCCTTGCTTTAGACGCCTATTTCCCTCAGATCAGCAGCGTCAAAGAGCGCAAGAAAGCCGTGCTGGCCGATGTGGGAACCTCAGGTAACTCTTCACACATGACCTGTAATACTCAAGTAAGAAAACTAACCCAGGCGACAAACTTAGGTTAAATAAACATTAGGGGAACATTGTTTTGAAATGTTCCTAAAATGTTCAATTAAAGCAAGAAGCCCTTATAAATTCACTGTAAACCACGGCTTCACGTGGCTTATTGCTTTTATAAACTGGTTATTCCATATACGTAGTAAGGTTTCACAAAATAAAACCGAGCAAACCAGTTTTCTTGTTGTGATTTTAACAAATAATATGTAATATTTGAAGGTTACAAAAAAGTTTATTAAAATGTTCTGCTAACTTTATTTTCACCTAAAATATACTATTATTTGAATGTTTATATTTAATATTCTAAGAATGTTAAAATGTCCAGTTTTCTTCAGCAGTTCAGCATTTCTTAAACCGTTGTCATAACGTTTTTCTACCATTTTCACCCAAAATTAATTGTTTGAAAAATTATAGGAAAGTATATCATATATTAATAAAGTTAGAAGAATGTTCCATTCATATTTTGTCCTAACATTTATATAATTAGTGTTAGTGAAAATTGTGAGAACATTAGCTGGGAATACAGTTTACACAGTAAACCACAATAATTATTACAGATTATTAGGAAATTATTATGTTCATATACACAAACACAGAATATACACTAAAATACTTTGAAACAATATTCACTCAAAAAAGAAACAGCAAGTAGTGCATTAAATTAAACATGAAATTTAAGTAGAATGACTGAAGCAGTATTTTCTTGTAAACTGTACTCCAGTAATCTTTGTTTTACAACTAATTTTTTTCCAGTGACTGTGATGTGTCGTCGGTCTCTTACAGTCTCTGTGTGTCGATGTCTGTCTGTTCCAGCGTTCTGGTCCTTCGTTTGGTTCGTGGGCTTCTGTTTCTTGGCCAATCAGTGGCAGGTGGCCAAACCGGAGGACAACCCGCTGCGGTCGGGTGCAGACGCGGCGCGGGCCGCCATCACCTTCTCCTTCTTCTCCATCTTCACCTGGGTCTGTAGCTGCTGTAATTAAACACATGAGTGTTGTGCTGGAGCTGTGTTGATGATTTCAGGTGTGTTGGCGTGTGTTTCAGGGAGCTCTTACACTGGTCTCTCTGGAGAGACTCAAACGAGTGTGTTTTGAAGAGGAGTATGAGGAACTCTTTACCCAGCCCTGACCTCACACACACACACTCACTCACTCACACAGACACACACACACACTCACTCACTCACACAGACACACACACACACTCACACACTCACACACACACACACATGAATAAACACGTTCCCTCCGAGTGTGTGTGAGACTCGAGCCTCAGCGGTCATCTCGAGGAATGAATCCATCTCAGAAGCTCATTAAAGACTCAGAATCAGAACTGAGATGCAGAATTAACGTTTACATGCCGCTCAGATCTTTACCGCAGCTCCAGGTCAGGATTCAGCATGTTTTCGGCAGTCAGTGAAAACATACTGATGTAATGCGCTGCTCTGCATTGAGTAAAGTTAAACAATCAGTCTCTGGCAGAAGTGTGTTCGTGAAACAACGTTCACAACCCATTTAATTTCCATAATGAGGCTTATTTCCAAGTCAAACGGGATATTAAAGAACGAAACAATGTTGATGTGTGCTGATGTTGTTACTGTAACCTGTAGATCTTCTGTTTTCTGACTAATCAAACTGAATCTGATCTTTCTCTCTTTTCTTCATATCATATTTTCTTTCCATCCTTCACAACTTCATCCTTCCCCACATTGTCTTTTTTTAACGCTGCATTGAACCCTAATCCATCATTCCCATGTTAAAAACCTCCTTCATCCGCACCTGCATCATCAGGCCACTCAGGCCTTCCTAGCGTTTCAGAGGTATAAGCTAGGTGCGGATTCGGCTCTGTTCTCGCAGGACTACACCGACCCCAGCCAGGACGCCGGCACCGTGCCGTACAGCTCCTACAGCGCTGGAGACGCTCTGGAGAGTCCGGGAGGAACCAGGTCGTACCAGCAGAGCGGCGACGGCGTGTTCGACGGGTCAGCGGGGTACCAGCGGCAGGAGTACTGAACCAGAGCAGGGTCACGGCACCAACTGACTCGCCGTACACCATTCTGATCAGCAGTAGAAGATTCTGTAAAACTCTCAATGCTACACAAATGGCTGATTTATATTGAAAATGAGGTTATTTGGGTAAATGGACCGAGACCTCAGCATTAAAGTGCCCCTATTATAGGTTATGAAAGGTTCATAATTTGGTTTTGGGAGTCCCCAACAACAGGTTGACATGCATGCAAGGTCAAAAAACACTTGCATTGTCTTATAATATGCATTTATTTTTACCTTACTTGCTCAACGATTCGCTCAATGATTCATTTTTCCAAACTCCTCCTTTGCATGATGCTAATCTGCGGTGATTGGTTCCTTTTGGTCTCATTTTCATTTCATCTGGCCTGTAATGCCTGAGAAAGCAGCGTTTGTGAGCGCAGTGCTGCTTTGTGTACAGCGTTACCGGGGAAACCGCCATTTTTACGCTCCAAAAGCGCACCTAGTGGCAAAGAATGAATTTGCATTTTCATTCAGACCAACAAGTGGGCGGGCAATATGCTAATACTTCATGTTGACGTCAACATGAAACGGCTTGGGATTAGTTTTAAAATGTGCTCACACTCTCAAAAATAAAGGTTCTTTATAGGAATTGAAGAACCATCGTTCCATTAAACAAAACGTCCTTTATAGTGGAAAAACATCCTTTAGTTTATTCAAATGTTCTTTACACTAAGAAAAAAATACTTCTTTTAAGAATTGATCACTGAAAGGTTCCCAGCTAACAAAAATATGTTCTGCTAACATTCCCATGAAGTTATGAAAATGTTATTCCTGAATGTTCACTAAACATTCAAAACATCCCCTTTTTGTTTTAAAAAGTTTTTCTTGGTTATACAAACATTAAGGGAACGTTCCATTTTATAATTTTGCAAACATTATGCGAACATTACTGTTAAATGTTCAACGAACGTTCTAAAACAAGTAGTAGCATTTTAAAAAATGTTAGATGAACAATTAAAACATTTTAGAAATGTATGATGTACTGTATAAATAACATTTTTGTGCTAACGTTTTTTAAAGCATTATTAAAGATCAGATCATTAAAATATTTAAGAACGTTTAATTTAGAATATGACAGCATTATTTCTGAATGATCAAAACGTCCAATTTTTCTTGGTTATACAAATGTTAAAGGAACATTCGATTTTATAATTTTGCAAACATGTGAACGTTACTTTTGAATGTTCTCTGAATGTTCTGAAACAAGGAGTAACGTTTAAAAGATGTTAGACGAACGTCCAACTAAAACACTTCAGAAATAACACGTTTCAGGAACAATGTATAAATAATGTTTTGTGCGAAAGTTTTGAGAACACTGTTAAAGAGCAGACAACTGTGAACGAACATTCTATTAATATTACTGGTAAAATGTGTCTTCATACCGAGAATGTTGTCTGTTAGCTGGGTTCCTCAGGAAAACAAAATGGTTATTTTATTGCATCGCTGTGAAAACGCTTTTAGAACCTGTATTTTTAAGAGTGCTGTTAGGTTTGCGTTCATGATTGTAACTCAGTTCAGATTAAGTTAATTCAGTTACTCTAGAACTGATGCAGCAGAAGGTTTGACCAAATATCCCAGACGCTTCACAGTTTGTCAGTGTTTTCAGAATATTCTACAGGCCCTTATCAGCGCAGCAGCTGTTTTCTTGAGTCTTTGTGCAGGTGTGTGGAGGGAGTTTCGTTCTCTGATCATCATAAACCGGTTTGCCTTCAGCAAGTGTGTCTGTGTCTGTCCTCAGGTCAACACGTGATCATGCATTCACGCCAAACTTATTTTACTTCCCTAATGGGATGTATTTTATTTTAGTGAAATAAGGCATTTAAAAAGTGAAGGGAAGGATTTTATCCACAAGGAATTAATTGGGTGGTGAAAAGGAAGCTGCGTTCACACAGGCTGAAAAACAGGAGGGATTGATGACGTCACGGAACCAGGAAAGTTGTTTCAGCAGTAGAGAAAAGTTCTTGCGTTCTGATTAAATTATGAGGAAAAACATTTTTAACTATCTGGAATAATGTCACTGATTCATTATTCGCTATAAGACAAGGGACGTGTTTTAAGGAAGTAAATAGAGGATTTTATTTTATGTTGACTGTCTGTTTTTTTTTCATCATGTTTTCAGATGTTCTGTGCTTGTGCATGTGTGTGCAACCTCAAACACCGTGACAGTAAACGGTTTCAACAAATGGATAAAACCAAACGTCCATCTGAACGGTCATTATCAATAACATGTGACCAAAATGAGGTCTGATGAACAAACACAAACCTGGCGCAATCCATTATCTATGTGATGTGTGTTGGGTGAATGGGTGTTTAAGTGGGCTATTTTCAATGCTTAATCAGCTGCATCTGTGAACAGATTCTCCTACAGTATGTTCATAAGAGCTGGAGAATTCTGTGTTTACTGTAAAATACTGAAGACACAGTTCGTATGCCAGAGTGGTTTCCACTGTATTGATCTGCTAAATTGTGTCAAAGCAGAAGGAAGTGTTCATGCCAATACCTGCTGTATGTAAATCTATTACTTTAATCTATACATCTAAATAAATGTTCATGAACAATAATAAAAGTGTTATGTGTGGCATAGAAATGTCCTGTAAAATCAAACTAATTCATTTGCCACGTTCCGACGTTTTGTTAACATTCCATTTGAGTTATAAAAACGCTATTTCTGAATGTTATAAACGTTCAAAATGTTCCGCTTTTAAAACGCTTAAAATGATTTTTGTTGGTTATACAAAGGGGAAATTCTAGTTTTAATAGGGTGACCATACGTCCTCTTTTTTCCCGGATAAGTCCTCTTTTCTGACCTAAAAAATGCGTCCGGCCGGGATTTCTAAATCGCCCAAAATGTCATTTAATTTGCTTTATACAGTCGCCATTCATCGTGTGCGTTTTTGTATTCGAACCCTGCGAGAGACTGTTTTCTTAATCCCGCTGCCGCTGAATTTCTGACCATTATCGTCCGCTCCCGCGATTTTTGTGTCCAGTCTAGCGCAAAAATTCTAATATTGCATACAATTTTCAGTATGCGGAGTATTTAAATCTCTTCTGAATGAGCGCTAGCTGTTCACTTTCACTTTTCGATCATGCGCGCTCTGTGTAAAGGAAGATCAGATATTTGTCAGTGAGCTCAGGATCTGTTGAGCAGCAAATCCTCCAGCATACACAATGAGTGTGTGTTTTAATCAGCATGAGATCATCACACACTGACTCTGAGTGCGTCTCATTGGTGTGTGTGTGTGTTCTGTGAGTTTTTACTGTCTTCCTTTAATAAACAGCTCTTGTTTCAGCTCCACATTGTGGTTTGGTTTCTCTTGCGTCAGAGACACTGAAGGTAGTTTGATGCTCTCAGATCTGAAGATTGCAGCTGTCGTCTGACTCTACAGGTTTTCACTCGTTCATAATCAGGGTTATTTCCACTCAATCTTTCAAAACTCGGGAATCAAACAGAATTGATTTGTGACAGATGTCCTATTAATATGTGGTAAAACTGTGACTTGTCTATTTTAAAATTACAGTCAGAAATGTGCCATTCTTCTGCCTTGCAACAGTTTAGGATTATTTATATATTTTTAGAGTATGCTTTTATTAGTATTAACTTTTTTTTATATTTAATTTAAGTTTTCATTTTAATTTTAGTTTGTCAAGTGCTTTAATTTTTGTTTGTTTTTTAATAAAATAAATATATATTAAAAAAATAAAAGCTAAATGGAATAAATTAAAAATAAAAGTTAAATAGAATTATATATTTAATATATATAAAATTCTATTTAGCTTTTGTTTTGTTTATTTTAATTTTTAATAGTTTTGGTTAATAACATCACTGCTGTATAAACACATCATTTAAATATGGAAAATGATGAGAGGAGTCAGCATCAGGATCATGTATCTGCTGTATTTGTGCAGATTATTCTAACTAAGTTATAGCTGATTTTTCATGTTCAGATGATGATGACAGAAGAGAAAAAACCTGTCTTTGTATGGAACTTTTACAAATATATCATGTGAAGAATGTGTGGAAAAATCTAAAGATGCTTTTAGTCATCAAGAAGTCTTGCACCAGTTTTGGTCTTAGAATTGAACACAAGGTGGCGCTATAAGAAGTGAATTTACGGATCTCTCAGACTTCTTGTTTTAAATTTCCTGGAAAACACGTGAGACTGAAATAATGCATCATCAGGAGACTCTGATGGAAAAGCTTTATAAAAATACAGATTTCTGTTCTTGTGTGAGATTGTCTGGCGCGTGCCGATCAGTGCAAACCAAATCCGTGCTGTCAGGTTATTCCTGTAATCAGAGTTGATTGTCAACCTCCAAAGATTTAACTGTTTTAAAATTTACTTTTAATTTAATTTATTTATTATCTAAACCCGTTTAACTTCTTGGTGGTTTGCCATTTTTGCGAAATGTTTGATCATTCTTCTCAATAACTTTGGTAACAGGGTCGAATGACTGATATTGAGGAATATCACCGATACATCTATTTGCATAAGAATTGTGAAAATAGA